ATTTTAGTTTCGTTAATGTCAGTGTCAATGCAATATTTTAAGTTATCACTATTTGCATCCCACCTTATACCTAATGTTTTGAGTTCTTTTTCCTTTTGAAAAATTACCAAGTTATCGTCTTTATAATTGCTGTTTGATAAAATATAATTTAAGATATCTACATTATTTGAGGACCACTTCCGTAAGTCAAATTTTGCACTCGACAATATTTTCGTTAATTCATGATAAATTTGTTTCGCTTCGTTCTCAGAATTGACACTTACAAGAAGATCGTCCATGTAAAAACATGTTTCTATAATTTCCGAAGTTCGCGGGTAACTGTTTTTATTTAAAGTTGCTAACTCTTTCAAACATCTATACTTGGAATGGTGCGCTTGAGGTACCATATGTTACGGTATTTAACTCGTAAACTTTGATTTCGTCTTCTGGATTTTCCCTCCAAATAATTTTTTGGAATGACCGTTCACTTGGATCTATCTCAATGCAACGATACATCATTTTAACGTCAGCTGTTAAAACATAAGTCCGCAGTCTTAAGCGAAGTAATATTGAGAATAAATCAGGTTGTATGGTAGGGCCTATTAATAATAAATCATTGAGAGATATGTTTGTGGTTGTTCTAGCACTTGCGTCAAAAACCACCCTACACTTTGTGGTCACTGAAGATTCCCTGAGTACCGCTGTATGAGGCAAGAAAAAAGATTTACTGTTAATCGATTTGTCGTTTTCTAAAGTATTAATAAATGTCATATGTCCCAACGATTCATAGTCTTTCATGAATTCAATATATTGAGTTTTTAAATTTTTATTTTTCAAAAATCGGTTTTCTAAACTTTTAAATCGTTTGATTGCTGATGATTTGGAATCTCCTAGTTGTTCCATATAATCTGGTTTAAAAGGATATTTTACTACAAAATTGCCGTTTTCATTCCGTGTTGTCGATTTGAAATATTCTTCACAAAACTGATCATTTTTTGATAGTGGAATTGTAGTATTTACTTCCTCTATTTGCCAAAATTTTGTTAAGTTTTCATTGAGTTGTTTATTTGTAATTTTACTGAAGTTGCATATTTGTCGATTGATATTCTTATTTTCATTTAAAAATAGATTTCCAGTAATAATCCATCCTAACCTTGTTTCTTGTAACGTGGGTAGATTATTTCCTAATTTAATTTTTCCCTGTTTCAACAAATCAAAAAATAATTCGGCACCAATTAAAAGGTCAATTGGTTTTGGATTATTAAACTGTTCGTCAGCTAATTTCAATTTGTGAGGTAAAGATAATTTAGTTTTATTGAATTTTTGCAATGGAAGTTTTTCTGTTATTTCTGGTATTACTAGAAGATGTAGTTCAAATTCAAAATCTTCACATCGCGATCTTACTTTTGCAATTGTTTTGCTATTTATCTGAGTTTCGATTTTATTTATACCACTTAAGGGAATATTTATTTTTTCACTTTTAAGTCCGAGTTTTTCAAAAAGGAATTTACTGATTAAATGCGATTGACTTCCTGAATCAAGTAAAGCTGTGCATTCGATCCAATTTTTACAATTATCTTGAATCAAAACAGTGGCGGTCGATAATAAAATTTGGTTTGAATCAATGGTAGTAAAAGTATGCATAGCATTTTGACTTAAAATAGAATTTTCCGACTCTTGATTTTGAATATTGTTAGTTCGATTCATGTTCAAATCATTTGGGCTGATAAAGCACATACTAGGTGAATTTTCAAAAGGTGGCGAATTTGTTGCCGCTCCAGCAACTTGCCGCCCACCATTCGAGTTTTGGGATTGCTGATTAGGATTGTCTGCATTGCTGCTTTTTGAACTATACTTGTTTTGTTGATTTTCGTTTCGATTAAAACTGTATTGATTTTGATCAGGATTTTGTCTGCTATGAAACTCATTATTTTCGTGATGTAAAGTTGTATTATGTTTCCTATTGCACTTTTTGCACCCGCTAGAGAAACAATTTTGTTTGTTATGACCCGGTCTAAGACAATTAGTACAAAGTTTCCTCTTATTGATTTCATTATATTTTTCCGATATTGTTAACTTTGCAAATTGTGGGCAATGATAAATGAAATGTGACTCATTACATATTGGACAAGAATATTGTGTGTTCTGATTAAAATGTGTGAATGTTTGTGGATTAGTGTGACTGTGTCCAACTACTTTTTTAAAACTGTATGATGATGATGGATTTGCATTTTGATTATAATGATTCGAAGTTTTATTGGTTTGATGATTACCTTGAATCGCCTCTAGAGTAAAACATTTCTTTGATAAAAATTCGGTAAATTCTGTTAAAGTTGGTAAATGCTGATCACTTAGTTTACCCTCCCATTCTCGCTTAGTTCTTTCGTCTAACTTTTGCAATATTACAGGAATCAGTAATGCATCCCAGTGCTCGACTGGCAATTGTAACTTTTTTAAAGCTGACAAGTGTTGATGAACTAAATCAAGTAATTTTCTTAAACAAACAGTTGATTCCCTGTGAATAGAAGGTAAATTAAATAAAACAGTATTGATATGCGTGTTTATTATTGCTCTTCGATTTTCATATCGCTTCCTCAATAATTCAACAGCGATTGTATAGTTACATGCTATTAAATCTAAATTTTCAATAAGTTTTAGAGCGTCTTCCTGACAGCACGATTTTAGGTACATTAACTTTTTAATTTCGCTTATATCTAACCTATCTTCCACGATTGCTTTAAATTGATCCCAAAAACTGTACCAATTTTCGTATTTCCCATAGAACTTAGGTAGCCCTAAATCTGGCAAAGCCGCATTGGTATTAGTTGGTAGTTGGGAATGTGAAATTATGTGATTTTTTTCATTTTCCAGAATATGTGCGATTAGACGTTTTGCGATTGATATTTTAGAGTAAAATTTCGATTCTGTGTCTAGCCTATTCTCTTTTTCTCCGGGCAATAAGAATTCTAAACGAGTTTGAACCCTATCGAATTCTGTAAAGTCTTCTTCGATACTTTTTAAACGCGATTCGATTTCAAATTGATCAATGTTTTTTACGTTTTCTAGCGATATTGATATTAGAAATTTTGAAAATCTTTCTAATCTTTCCGATATAACCGATCTGACATGTAAATATTCTGATTTTTCATCATCTTCGCGATTATTGAAACTAACATCCATTTGATGTTTACTATTTCTATTTTTTCGTGACATTTTTTGAGTTAATAAATTGGCAATTCTACCTGGACTTTTTATTTACTATACGATTTTTTTTTAAATATGTTTAATTTTTTATACGATTATACGATTTACGTGATTTCGATTTTAAATTAATTAAATATAACAAGAAAATGTCGATATGACAAACTGAATGTCAATAAGTAAGATATTTCGAGTAAATTTAAAGAATTCTGGATTCTGAATACGAGTTAACGATTTTGCAATAAATTGTTATTAATGTCGATCGATATAGGATTATTGATATAGGTAATGTTTCGAGTTACGATGAGATACCACTGAGAGCAACCAATCAGAAAGTTTCGATTAGAAATGTATACATATATACCTATAAAAGGTTCGATTTCCATGATAAAAACTACTCATAAAAAAGAATTAAGAACATACATGCTCAAACTCTACGCCAATGACGCCACACAGTAAACCACAATAATTTTTTGGAGATTTTATTTTCCTATCCCCATCGAATTAATTGAAACGGGCTTACCGACTATGTCCTAACTGCTTCGATGCTTCGACTCAAGCTGGGTTCTTCAATTTTTTTTTATTTTTGGGTTTTTCGATTTTTCCACAGGATGCTTCGTTCTGAATCCGCTCGATGGGACCAAAATGTTGGGGTTTTCAATGATTTCGATTTTCGAAGGACCAGTCAAACAACTAGGTTTGACAAAAAACGATTTTATTCTGATAAAGATCTCGATAAAAATGGACTGTGAACGTGTGTTAACGATTTGACAAAGTTCAAGAATAATAAGAATAATAATGACAAATAATGACAATTGGAAACGCCATAATTAATTATAACAAAAAAAAGTCTCATCCATGGTTACAAAAATCCAGGAACCATGATAAAATGTTTTTGTGGGTGCGCTCGGAATGGAACAGATTTTTTTGAAGATTTTTGAGCAGAAAGTAATTTTATTTTTTTTTCCTTAATGTCAATCTTTTCTGTATCTATTTTCAAAATTTTAATGCAATTCCTCAAACCTCGTCCTCAAAAAAAAATAAAAGGTCCTTCGTGTAATTTTTTGGAAATTTGATTTTTTCGCAAATGACATCATCACACATTTTGCCTCACAACTATGTTAATTTCTATTCGATCTTAACGTAGTCAGGCTTCAATTGAAACCAATTAAATTCTCTACAAATATCTTGTGAATAATTTCAATGCAGACTCGATCATTTTGCAGTTGCGAAGCTTCAAAGTCTTTTGACTTTAATTTTTATCAAGGTGAGCGAGCCCAAGAATTTTTTTTTCTAAATTTCAATTTTTTCTTTATATTTATGTTTATACAATAGTTATTTGCAAAAGTTTTATCCAAAATTCAAATGAGGCACAAATTAAGGTCAATAATAACTCTGTTCCAACCGACATGAGAACCGTTCTAGAACGGTAATTTCCAGTCGATCATTTCATTTGTCAAGTAGTATAAACGTTCAAATTATTGAAAAATAGGTGGGCAACTACAAATTACTGGTTCTGGAACAGTTCTCATGTTGGTTGGGAACAGAACTTTAATCTTCTACAAATCTCTCATTAGCAATTTTTCTCTTTCCTTTTCTTCCTTCCTTTGTTTATTCCAGATTCTTGAATTTCCTTGTTTTCCATGTCTGCTTTCGCTCAATTAAAAAAATAAAGAACAGAAAAATTAAAAAGATTCATGAATTATTTCTAATCGAAGAAAACAATTATGTAATTTAAAGATCCTAGAATAGACAAAAATTGACACGAAAAAATGAAAAATAGATCTAAAAATAATTCAAAAAAATGTTCTATTTTCCAGCTTTAGTAAACGGTCATTCCCTAAGCATCGATTCAGACATCTCTGTTGTATCGGGCGACGATAAATCGACAATCTCTCAAGACACTACAATCGTAAGAGAAGACGCCCTCAAAAATGGCCATACGGAGCTACAGGCAAAGTCCCACGACCGCAGCACCTCATCGCACATGCCCAGATACGACAAACTGCAAGCGCACGAAATCAAAGACGTTCTCCTAGCGTTTATGTTCGTCCTCAAATACCTCAACGACGAGCATTTGGTTATGTGGTGGCAATCGTTTCCAGAGTCCGATGTTTTGAGCTTTTTTACCATATTAGAATTATGTTTGCATTATTTCAAGTATGTGGGTAAGAGAAATGTTACTGTTATAAAGACTGCTGATACTGAAAATGTAAAGCAAAAATCTAAAAAGGCTCATACGTTGCCTGCGAGAATGAATCCTTCAGAAATTAACCACGAAAATACCAGTACTTTGGTTATACACACAAACAGAGAAAACTTGGCCAATTCTGAAAATGAAGTGCACAAAAAACAACAAGCAATCTTGGAGCAACATCTAGCCTCTGAAGTTGGACTTATAACTTTAGACTGTATTGGATTATATTCGATGCACTTTAGGAAAAAACTAATGAACGATGGAAGTAATAGTGAAGTAATGAAGAAAATATTAGACTTGTTTCTAACTTTAATACAAATAGGCCAGAGCGAAACTGTTTTTAGGCATAGTTTTGCTGCTTTGAGGGCCTTTATTAACAACTACTCGTGTGTTTTCTTTCAAGGTAAGCACTCATTATTATAAATTTACTTATAAATTCTCAATACAATTTTTGCTATCAGGCAACGCAGTTCTATGCGGAAAACTCTGCTACGAGCTTTTGAAATGCTGCAACAGCCGAGTGTCGTCGATAAGACAAGAATCCTGCGCTCTCTTGTATCTGCTGATGCGCAGCAACTTTGAGTTCACCAATCGCAAAGGTTTGACCAGGGTGCATTTGCAAGTGATTATTTCGGTGTCGCAAATGTTGGGGAACATTGTCGGTTTGAACAACGCCAGGTTTCAAGAGAGTCTGTCTTTGATTAATAGTTACGCTTCCAGCGATAAGGCTATGAAAGGATCTGGTAAGTAACAATGGATATTGAAACATATCCTTGATTTATAACTGGCAAATTTGGATTCGAATTTTTCTTCAAGTTTCACATTCATATCTATTTTAATCTCTCAGAATCATTATAAGGTGTAATTTATTTAAACTTGACCGCATATTTGTTTATTTATCTGATAACGAAGCCACATTTTTCATAATCCAATATCATTAGGCTTTCCAACCGAAGTAAAAGACCTCACCAAACGCATTCGCACAGTACTAATGGCCACAGTACAAATGAGAGAACATCACCAAGACCCAGAAATGCTTGTCGACTTACAGCACAGCTTGGCCAATTCTTATGCTTCCACTCCGGAATTGAGACACACTTGGCTGGAAACTATGACCAGGAATCATGTCAGGGATGGCAACTATTCAGAGGTAAACAAATAAATATTGAATTTTTAGATTTTATAATAATTTTTCTAGGCTGCTTGTTGTCAGCTCCATATTGCCGCCCTAATGGCAGAATACTTGAAACTCAAAAACATCCAGTCGTGGGGGGCTGAAGCTTTCGTAAACATTTCTTCCAACATTCCCAAAGATGAAAAAGGCCTGAAATTGGACACTGGCGTGCAAGACATACAATACACTGAAGTTATTTTGTTGGAACAACTGGAAACTTGCGGGGAGTTTTTGGATAAGGCCGAAAGATACGAAGTTATGGGTGAATTGTTTAGATTAGTAATTCCGCTTTATGAAAAAAAGAGGAATTATGAGCAATTGAAAAAGTGCTATCAGAATTTGGCTTTGAATTATGATAAAGTTATTGAAGTTAATCGCACAGGGAAGAGATTGTTGGGAAGATATTATAGAGTAGGGTTTTATGGACAGTCTTATTTTGAAGAAGAAAGTGGCAAGGAGTATGTTTACAAAGAACCAAAAGTGACGTCTTTGAGTGAAATTTCGGAAAGGCTGGAGCGTCAATATTTAGAAAAATTTGGTCAAGATACAGTAAAAATGATTCAAGATTCCACTCCTGTAATTCAAAGTGATTTAGATCCAAAATTAGCTTATATACAAGTCACCCATGTAACTCCTTATTTTGAAAAAGGCTTGGAAGATAGACAAACAGAATTTGAACAAAATCATAATGTCAGTACTTTCATGTATGAAACTCCTTTTACAAAAGACGGCAAGGCCCGTGGCAATCCTGAGGAACAATGGAAAAGGCGAACAATTTTAAAAAGTAACCATTATGCTTGTACTGTAAACTTATATTTCAAAACTAATTATTTTCAGCTACGTATTCGTTTCCTTATGCCAAAAAGAAAATCCCAATCGAATCCAGGAAAATTCAGGAAATGAAACCTATAGAAGTGGCAATAGACGAAATGCAAATTCGAGTGGCCGAATTGGAAGATGTCGTTTTTACTCTGCCGACTGACGCCAAGAAGCTGCAGTTGAGGCTTCAAGGCAGCGTTTGTGTGCAAGTTAATGCAGGCCCGTTGGCTTATGCCAGTGTCTTTTTGGATCCGTCTTTGTCTAATATGTATCCGGACGATAAGGTGGAAGAGTTGAAGGATATTTACAGGTAATAGGAGTTTTCTTTATGTATTCTTTTCCACCTTGGCACACAAATAATCGCATTTGATTGATGAATAATTATTTATTTACTAGGAAAAACTCTATAAATTATTTCTGACAATCTTTTCCTCTTATGACATAGCAGTCTATATTTCCAACAATAAACTCAAAAAGTTAGTTTATTTTTTTTGTTTTCTAGGGACTTTCTTAAAATCTGCTACTCGGCTTTACAAATCAACAGCAAACTAGTCGCGCAAGATCAACAAGAGTACCAAGAAGTCCTGAGGCAAAATTACAAAAAACTGTGTTCTTCATTGTCAACGCTATTTGGCGAATCCTTGTGGCCGCACGACGAAATGGGAAGCTTCAAGCGCAACAGCATGGCCATGTTTAGTCCTGTGAGCGGAGCATCGCAAAATTCGAGCACAGCATAAGTCAACGTCAACTTTCTGCTGATAAATCATTATTTAGCTGTTCAACGATGACCATAGTGCTCTATTTATGTGTGTATTTAAAGTCAATTTGTTGTTAAGATATCTTTTTGTGTATGCATCAAAGAAAATCAATTCCTCATATATAAATGCCATTTAAATTTTATAATTTGTTCCTTCTAGTTTATAACCAAACATCTATTCAACAATTGCAGATTTTTCTAGTTTATCGGAAACAATCAAAAAATCCAATAGCATTGTTATTTTGTAAAATACTTAAGCCATATAATAATACATATTTATCCTATATTATTTGAATGTGGTAATTTATAGAATATAGAGTTTCTTGTAAATTGTTTTTAAATTTTTTTTTCCAAAAAATAACATTGTTACACTCATTACTTTCATATTTAGTTTTAGGTATAAATTATTGCGACGTTAGTTTTTCTTTGGACGCTGGTTATTTTTAATTATTTTTTTTTTTTTGTTTTTTTTGATATTCTAACTAGTGTTATGTAATTTATAAGATTTTTTTGTTCTATTTAAATTATTGGACTTGTAAACGTTCTTTGCTCCGTCTCAAAATTGAAAAAGACTTCGTGGCTTACCAGCACAATTTTTGCTCTAAATTTCTACTTTTATAAGACATCTATTTCCTAAGACACCTAAATTATAGGCAAATTTTTACTCAGGAATTTGTTTTGTGCTTAATTTTCTCGAATAATCTGGACACCACCAAAAAAATACGCATTTTGCTATAAAATTGAATAAGTAATGTATCATGTTTAACTGACAAAAAAATTGTTTTAATTTATTGTGTTATATTTATTGTTAAAAGTACAAACTAAATTTGTGTTCAAGTGCAATTAAAGCTTTTCGTCCTGAATTATTATTTTTTAATTATTATTCATTATTGTCTGTATATGGTTTCAATAAATGTTGTGCACTTTACAAAGTGACGGTTGTTTTTTTTATTTTTGCTTTTTCTTGAATTATTACCCAATTTGCAGTCCTATATTCAAAATAGTCTCCGAAAAAATTCCTTGTGAAAATAAATTATGCAGGAACTTGTGATGTCACAACCGCCGAAATCGCAGTCTTCTACTCAATCAGTCATCAGGGAACTATATCCTATTCCTATACTTTCAGTGGTTGCAATTCGCTTTAGGAGATAATTGTCTTTTGTTTTGGAGAATTCTTAGTTCCACACGTGTTAATACTGTCCCTGATAATCCACTGTGACGTCACAAACACCTAGTTGTAACTTTAAACCGCCCTATCTCGAAAAAGGAACGTCGTAGCAAAATGCGGTTTAAACATTCATTCTTATATATTTTTTAGCTCCAACTTTCATTTTTGGGTCACAGCCCCTTCATGTTTTCAAATGATAAAATAAAAATGTTTGAAGTTTAATTTATGTCTTGTTTTAAAATTTAAATATTTGTAAAAAAAAATTCACAGTCCTTCACAAAGATGCAACCGGGCGGAAGGACATTGAATAAAATGCCGAAGCAGACTCCAATACTTAATGCTTGTGATTATTGTGAGCTCTAAGATCAGCGAAAACTCATGAGGTTTGTTTGTTTGTGTTGTTCGTGGCAGCACTTCCTGCTTTGGGGCGTTCGTTTACAGCTTAATTCAAGTTTGTGCGACACAAACAACCAAACCTATAGATATAAATGCCATTGAACGAGTAAGGCAAAGCGCACATTGCACATTTGAGACACATGCGACCCAACCCACGCAAGGCAGCACACAGTGCATAAAATTCGTGGACTGGGTCGGCTAACACAAATTGAATCAGTTCTTCCTGCATTTTTCCTATTTGACAAATTTAACAAGCCGCACGCACACGAATCTGTGTCTCAAACACTGAGCGACGCATCACATGTTTTGTTTGACATATTAGTTGCTTTCCCTGTGCTGCGTCTCAATATGCGGACATGGAATGCTCGCTACATGATACAAAAGCATGGCGTGTGCTGCGTTGCGTGGATTGCGTCGCTTGTGTCTCAATGTGCGCCTTGCCTGATTCAAAGCGTGGACCACGCTCGTTATTCACGGCCAGTGTAAACGGTGTAAACTCCCCTTTAGATCGAGCGGTGTTGCCGGATAGTTCTTTTTTTAAATGATATGCCATTTCCGACCCTTTCCAGAAATTTCTAGGCCTTTTCCAGACTTTATCCAGACTTTGCCAGACTTTTCCAAACTTTATCCAGACTTGTCCAGCCCTTTCCTGACCTCCTTGGACTCCTTTCAAACACTTGCCCGACTTGTTCCAGCTCACTTGGTTTGTTCCAGGACCGTACACTTCCCAAGAGTCCAAAAGTTCGTACGCGTTTCTACCCTCCTAACTTTTACCCGTCGTCTCCTTTCCAAGACTCTGTGTCGTATGGGAGGGACAAATGCAACAAAGCCGGCCGCACATTGAGACGCTGACGCAGGTGAGTCGACACAGGCGACGCAGGCAGCGTACCACAGAACTATGTCCGAACTTGCGTGACGCAGTGTTCCGGACACAGTTTCCTGCAAAGGCACCAACGATCCGATTTATTTAAAATCGAAATTAAAGGATGAATTATGATTTTCTATCCTATTATGTACCTATACTTACAGTATCAAATTGCTCTCTGCCTAACCGAAAATAATTTGAAAAAACAGGATCAGAAAATTCGGATGATAGGATAGTGCAATTCTCCGTGAGTATTTCTCCTTTTCATATAGTTGCTTTTCCAAAATAGTTGTATTCCTTTCAAGAACTTGAAACACTCGAGCTACTCGCTTCGGTGCTTAGTCGCCCCCGATTTGCAGGGAACATATGCGTGGTGCAACAAAAACTTTTCGAAAGGAATAAAGGTTGTCACTCACTGGAGCGTAGCGCACGCACTGAGAAATTTTTGTCATTGTCATAGCTAATTTTTCTGCTGCCGTAGCCAAAAATTTTGGCTACATAGGGGACAGCCAAGATCTTTACTACCGCCGAAAAGATAACTTTACTGGCACCGTTTATTTGCGGTAGCAAAGTAACTTTATAAAGAATTTACTCACAGTTTCTACAAGGTCACTTTGCTGGCATAGAAAAGCTACTTTGCTGTCGTAGGAAAGTAACCATGCTGTCCTAGAAAAAAGGTTATATACCCTCAAAAACATCCTTTTTTGCTATTGAAAAGTAGATTGCTAAGACAGAAAAGATATTTGTTGTTATTATTAGAAATGCTTCCTGAAATAGGAAAGCGTTTGTCTCAGAACAAAAAATTTCTTGCCAGGATCAGCCAAGTGTTTTATTAGCCATGGGAAGTTATTTGTCTCACCAATAGCAAAAATATTTTGCTGGAAATCTTTGGAAATATGTAGTAGCGCGTCCATCATAACAAAACCAGGAGATAAACAAACTCTATTTAAACCCCTAAACTTTCATTACCTGATCTGAAATAATGTCAATTAATGAAAAGTTTGGCGCTAGAGTCGTTTCTGCTAGTTTTGATGGATGCGCTGGCACCATTTCCAAAAAGATTCCCAGCGACCGACACTCGACTTGACTCGACAGCATCCACGATCCACACCGAACGGCGTTAGCTACTAGACTAAAATGGAAGAAAATGAACACGAAACATATTTTATCGGCTATTTTTGGACCCGAAGAAATCACGGAAATGTCCGAACGGTATTTTTAGTTAAGTTATTTGGCTAGGGTAGCAAAAAACATTACTGTAACAATAACAAAAATTACAGGAATTTTTTTTTTGCTGCAACAGTAAAGTATCTATCTTAGAAAAGTTCTATTTCGGAGAAGCAGAAATATTTTCATAAAATTTTAATTTTGCTATAACAGCAAAGTTTGGTTTTGGAATAAGAAATATCTTTGCAGTTTCAATAAAGTAGTTTCAGCAAAGTGGTCTTTTCTGTAGAAGCAAAATAACATTGCTACCTCTAAAAAATTTTCCAACAGCTAAAAAAAAACCAGCAAAGAATTTTCTCCTAGGACTTTTCTCAGTGCGGCAGCGCGGCGGAGAGGAATTTTTAAATACATTATTTTAATCGGGAGTACGCTCACTTGTCGGAAGAGCGCCGATCGGCATACTCCCATTTAAAACAATGTATTATAAAAAGTCCTCTACGCTGCGCTTCCGTGCGCTGCGCTCCAGTGAGAGTCAGCCTTTAGTGTGTGAAGCCCCGGAGCTGTTCCGGAGCTCCTCCTAGGTGTGAAAGGAATACAACTAATGATTTTTTCCTCTTTGAAATGTATAATAGAACAGTTTCTTCAAATTCTGCGTCCGACTCTGACTCGGAACTATCCAAAAATTTAGTTAATATCCATTTCCATTAAAAACTTGTGAGGACTTGTATCTGATTGAAAGAAGTAGGTACCCACAATCTCAACTTGATTCTTGATTACATACTATGCTGATGATTGCGTATTAGGCCTGAGGATGATTTCGAAACTAAAACGTCGGAAAAGAATAATTTGTTGCCAACTGCTTTTCTATAGGAATAATTTTCAGTTGCAATGTAACAGAATTGATAGTAAATTTCAAATCTCGGTTCAAGTACCTACGTATTTCATGGGAGTTACCAGAGACGGTTTTTTAGAAATAGTTAAAATGTTATCTTAATGGGTTTTACAAACATATGGCGATTCTGAGAACGATAACTAATCTGGTCGAGAATTAAGGGAAAACACTTAAAGCAAAAAATGTATCAAATTTTATAGTTTCAAGTCAAATATAAGCCAAAATTGACAAAATTAGGCAAAATTATGTGTTCTAATCTGTAGCTGCACCAGATCACGACATATGTTCGTAATAAAGTATTCAAGAACGATAATTCCCAACGTTTTATGGCGAACCCAGATGTCAGAGAACTGATACTGAACTTATATTCGAAGCATGTGTGTGGGCTAAAACAATGATTACGGGAACCAGATTTTCCAAGATACAATAACACAAAATTGTATAGTAATAGGAAAATCAAGGAATTTAATTTTATAATATGTAGAAATTTCAGACTTAATTAAATTTTATGTTGAAATTTCGAAATGTGTAATTCAAATTTTATGTTGATTAAACACCGGGTGAAATGAAAACTGTAGGAATTAAATGTTATTAACAAATAAGATAAGAAAGGAGATAGTTAACTACCCAATTATTTTAGGCATAATTAGTATTTAAGCATAGAATAATTTAATTCATTTCACACCCTTGATTAGGCTAAGTAATTAGGTTTATTACTCAGTTACATAAGTAATTAAGAAACTGTTTATTTCATTTAACTAGGTTAACAGAAGGCATATAAGAAAGAAAGATTTTCCAATTAAAGGAATAACGGTAATTTTCAGTTATTAAAATTATATTCTTCATATGACTAGCGAGCTCTATTGGAAGGCTTTCAAACTATGTCACTAAGGGTGTAAATAGGGTGAACGATACGAGAACCAATAAGGAAAGAGCAATAAGAAATATTGAGAGGGCTAGGTACTAACAGCTAGCCAATGAGCTGCTAAGAGTAGTACCCTCAAGAAATAGGGGTTGGTTCTCTCTCGCTTATTTAAGCGAGAGTTGTTGCAGTTATCGGCAGTTATCGTCGGAAATTGTTAGAATAAAACAAAAACTTAACGAGTTAGTGTTCGTCACAGTCGTCGCTCGATCCGTTCTTCTCCTAAGTTCATCTACCACTCAGTGATTAGTGGAAAAGCTCTTCAAAGAAGGTGATGGTTTATTTCAGTTCAATTTCTTTTAAAATCTATTTTTTTAGTCTAAACCTTTAATTGGAAATCAAACATTGTCTTCTTTTTTTTTTATTATTCATTCTTTTCTTAAATAATATAATTTTATTCTTTTAAAAAAAGGAGTTTTCATTTTTGGTGTCATAAATTGCTCTAATCACTGGTAGTGGCCGAAAAAGATCTTTCGTGCCGGTTTGTGCAATTGAGAATTGAGGAGGGGAGTTAGCAACTTTGGCAATAAAAGGTTAAGTCATCTTGAATCTATAACCCTTTGCACTAACCATAACCGAAGAAGAGAAGAAGTGAGGTTTTAGTTTGGATTGCCTCCGGTTCGGAAAATTTGGTATTTAGGATCCTTTTCAGAT